GGGGGGGGGGGGGGGGGGGGGGATAGATGCTATGGCCTCCCGTCTAAACACACATTCAATTGTAATTACACGCTTATTTGCGTTACGCTTTTCAAAAATTCACCAATTTGCCTGTTTTTACTTTGTTTTTTTTGTCCCTCTGGAAACTACCCGCAGATATTTGCTGATAAACTCACCTATTCGCGTTGTTTTTATGACCCTCTTGGTAGCAACGTGACTAGATTCTCTCAAAATGCCGCTAATTTGAATCGCTAATAACTAAATGCACCAAATTTTTGGAAAATCGGATGATGAGTCGCGTAGAATTTTTTTACTATTATTTTTTTTTTGTGTGTGTATTTGTAGGGAAAGAAAGGCCTTTCTCAGGAACGTTTTTTTTTGTGTGATCTTGCCTGTAGAAAATTTTGTTTTGTCCCCTACTCAGGGTAACCCTTCTCCAATTGACTGACAAGTTTCAATTAAAATATCCACCAAAAACTCATACAGGCCAACATTTTGTGGAGTTCCCTAAATTGACACATCCAAATTATGCATATTTACAATATAACAAGGAGTTTTGACTTATTTGGTTGAGTTCCACTTTAAATCATGCAAAATGGGACATTACTGTTATTCGGGAGAAGAGCAATGAGGGCCATAGGTTAGGTCTTGTGATTCAGTCATCAGTTGTTGTTTTTTTTCCCGGATATTCTTTATGGAGGGTTTGAAGTGGGAGACGTTTGAAGTTCTCATTTCTTGTTATCTACAAAATTCCACAAAGATTTCGGCCACTTAGTGTTTTTGGCAGTGGCTAGCGGGAGCGATGAATATGAAAATCAACACAATGATTGGAATAGTACCCTAAATGTTCAGCCCCTGTTTTTGGGGGGCTTTGTTGTTTCATGATAAGTCCCTCTGTTCGAGGAAGCAGTGTTTGAACTCAGGTGTTCGCACCGTACACGACAACAGCATTTTGTATCCTCCAAAAACCAACTTCTGTCGGCAACTAACGTATTCTATTTGTGCGCAGCATCACGGCTAAATGCCGCTTCACCGTGTTTGCTTTGAAACCCGCGCTCCGCTAATTGACTTGAGTCTGCAGACCTGAGAGCACTACTGGGTTCAGAGTCAATTAGCGTTTCCTTAATGTAAAACCATTCAGTGATTTATAGCGCACGAGCAGAATTTTAAAATATCTTCGATGGCTAACTGTGAGCCACTGTAAAGCCTTCCTGTAAATAGTTTCTGAAAGTTTGTGTGTGTGTGTTTGTGTGTGTATGTGTGTAGTTTTGGTGTTTACTGTCTATGACTGCAAACTCCACAAAGGAAGGCCATAGCCGCAATCCCTGCACTTCTGCAATATGAGGCGGACATGCTAACCAGTCATCCACTGTACCGCCTGTAATCTAAATCAGTTTATGAAAATGACCGACTGTGTTCATTAGAGTGTGAGCTCACCCGAAAACCAAAAATGATCACACATCGTCGTTTTGGTCACGCGGTGAGATGATCTCATTTTGTAGTCTGAAAATCGAACTGATTGAAGAGCCTCATGAAGTGACCGGTGTGTTTATTTTTGACAACTGGTCGTGAAACACTTGTACGCCTGCAACGTGAACGGCACGCTAGCTGTTACAGTAGACGGGATTTTTCTGCTCACGATCAATGTTTGATTGGCAGCAGCTTGTGAGGGGGCGACACTATTTTCACATCAGTCCAGAGGCATTTTTTTTTTCTTAAACCAGCCGTGTTCCAGTTTGTCCACCATTGGCTAGTATAATGACAGCAAGCAGTTTTCTGTGTTGCCATGGTAACACTCGTTTAAATAAAATAATAAATGGGGGTGGGGGGGGGGGGGTAATCACAACAGCCCAGTGAGAGAGAGCGATCGTGTTTCTGTGGTAACTGCTGACTCGGGCTATTTTTGTCTTGTGAGCTCCTAGTGCAGCGAGCCACAGAGGAAGAGAAGGAGCACTTAACGTATGGATTGGATATTAATAAAGGAGAAACGTGCGACGTTAAGCCTGGATGACACGAAACAACAAAGAGTGACTTCATTTGCATTGCCGTCGCAAACGAAATTGACCAATGGATCGAATGCTAATCGGTCAAAATTGTGCTGCGTTATATCTCAATGTCACGTCATAAAATGTAAAAATGCTGACATTTCCAGGTTATTGTTTTCGTTGTTTTTTTTTTTTTTTAATCGCCAGATGTCTTTCAAACTAAAATAAATTAGATAAATGTAATTGATATTCACGAAAAGCAACATGTAAATTGAAAGAAACCTGATCCTGCCTTGGAAAAGTTGAATTGACTTTTCTTATCTATTTGTATGTAATGAGTATGACCTCATTAGTCCCAGAATGAGCCAATCGATTCGATTTTAATGAAGACAAAAGAGTTTGGTGTCACGGTGGAATGTCCTGTAACGACATGACATTTGCATGAAACGTGATCATCCCGCGGAAAAGTGGAATTCATTAGCATTACGTTTGCTTAACCCTTTCTGGGACAGTGCTTACTACAGTGGACAGTTTAGCATGTTCTCAGATTGCAGGGTGCATGAAAGGGTTCAACCAAACAAAAGAAGCTCGATTTGCATTGTGTTCTGACGACATTAAAAGAAAAATGTTGACTGCATCAAATGCTAATGAAGGTAATCACTGCCACGTCGTGCCTGGTTGATTGTTCGACGCTAATCTTCTCTTACGGCGCACAACCCGATCATTGAACGTGTCTTGTTACTCCAAGACGAAGGCTTTTGATGTGAATGAAGACAAAGCAGCGTTGTGTTATGACCAAAATTGATGAAGCGATAGCTTTATAATGAATACAGTGCATTCCTAAACTAATTCACACATTTGTGTGTGGAAACGAGCAAAGAGGAGCCTCCACTCTGCTTTGGAGGTTGCCGTGGTTTCGCGCTGGAGGACCCTTCCGCATTGCCCGGCCAGCTTCATTCCGAACTGTGTAATCCGATGGCCGGCCGGCTCGCGCTGTCGGGTTACTCGTGGCACAGCGGCGTGCGATTGCTTCTGTCTGCTGCCACTCGCACAGTGAGCCAATGGCAGCAGTCCACAGTGGGGTGATTCTTTGGGGTGCCAGAATAACTTTGTGAATCATGGAACTTTGATTTGCCCCTTTTGACATTATTATGACACGCTAATGTTGTTACGAAATGTATTTTCTGATTGATCTGGTCGACTTTTTGTGAACAAATTTGAATGACTGGTGCTGCTTTTATTTTCGCAGAATTCTGCTTCCTCACTTTGTTTTAGCCATGCTAATGCGGTGGCTAATTTTATTTTGGTAGGTTTGTCTCTGTTGTGATGGCCAAAAGTCTCCATCTTCTCCTTCAAATATGGGAGTAACTCTCTCTGCTCAGGTTTTTCCGAATGTTTCAGAAATCAGAATTTTGACCTTAAGCGGAATATTGATTGCATATAAACGTAGTCTGACTCCGTTTTGATAAATTGAAGGTAGTTTTTGGTAGTTTTACACTTCCTGTTTGTCTCTACATCATCAGTTGGCTTGGCCATATCTGTCGTTGACCAACTTTTTGTGAGTCAAATGACTGATTTGGATCCCGGTGTTCTATTTGACTCCATCTGTTTGTGATGTTGAGTGGAGACGTAGACTGCTGCATCAGCTTACTGCGCTAACCTCCGTACGCTTGTCACTCGGGATGAAAAGGTGGAGTGTTTTACGATTGAGTTACATTTGAATTTAATGCGTTTGATGAGTGTTTAATTCTACCGGAGCAACACAAGACTGGCCAGCTACTCCTACGTTAGGCAAATATACTGGAGTGTGCACCGACTGCGTGACTGGAAGAGGATGAAGAGTCAGCAGCAGCAGTAGTCGTCGTCAATGAGCTCATTCTGAAAAGGACGAGAGGCTCCACTCCACGACACTCAATGGCCGAGCAGCTGCGTTCTGTTTGCACACGTGTCGACCGGGCTGGCCCGCCGCTCATCTGAGTGCCGCCTTTGTCCCAACCGCGCTCGCCACTGCTTGATGAATGACAAGCCAGACACTCGAAGGTCCATCTTCTTCGCGACTTTTGTACAAAGTAAATAAAACTGATACTATGCAATGGGAGATGCAGGCTGTCGGAAGTGGAAGTGGTACTTGCTATAAATTAATGCTAAAAATTTGTGTTTAAAGATCAGCGTAAGGGTTTCATTGGAAGAGTCCAGCCTGGGTTATGGTTTTAAAACATGGTTGATTTTGAAATAAGGGTTAAGGTTTCAAAGTGAGGTTTCAAAACAGGGTAAGGGTTTAAGTTTAAGACAAGGATTGCAATTTGAGCCGAGCCTGGTTTAGGGTTTGAAATTGTGTTTCCAAGTCAGGGTTAAGGTTTAAAATAAGGGTTAGGGTTTCAAGACCAGTGATAGGGTTTCCAGTCTGTGTTTGTTTTTGTTTTGACCTGGTGGAGTCACTGGCGAGCCCCTTTCTTTCTTCCTTCATTGATGAATTCATTCTTCCTCTCTCCATCCTTTATTCGTCTCTTTCCCTCCTTCAATAAATTCCTCTCAAACATGTCTAAATATGTAGGTTTTATGACCATGTTTTAAATCTTTTTTTTCCCTTCCATATTAAGCTACAGTGAGTTGAGGAGCTTCATTTTAACAATAGTACAGTAGTAGTAGTCCTTTGCCACCATGCTATAGCATTTATACGAAATTACAATTCAGTATAAATGTTTAAAAAAAAACAAAAAAAAAATTCTGCTATTGGTGGCGGGGCGAGGTCCCCATTCCCACCAAATAGCCATTAAGTTGAAAGTGAAAGGGAAAGAAAAAGAACTTGAATGTGTAAACCAGGAAACCAAACAATACTCCTCCGACTTCCTGTTAGAAATAATGCAACCAAAAGTGACTGAAAATTGCCCACAATGAATGACTCAGTCATCTTTTTTTTTTTTTTGGGTGGGGGAGAGCTTTCACTAATCCGCCATCTTTCTTCCTGGTCTCTCCACAGTAAGCATGTTTCTCAACACCCTGACACCCAAGTTCTACGTGGCTCTTACGGGCACCTCCTCCCTCATATCAGGACTCATTTTGGTAAGAGCACACTTTGTTTACGTCGTAGTAAAGTAGGGCTACGTTTTAATGATGACATTTTAGTGTCTTTCCGCTGAAAGTGGAAGTGGAAAACGCTAAACCCCAAATATCCAACCCGAATTGTCCCGACTGGTGCTTTTTCGAATGCTCGCGTAAGGCGGTGCTCAACACTCTGCCGTCTGTTGATTGGTGGCTTGAAAATGATTGGCAACAAAACCAAAAGGGATTTAAACCATTCTGACTTGCCATCCGTTGTTTGTTTAGGCGTGACCTGACATTGACTGGTGACCAGTTCATTGTTCATCTCTATGTGCCCCGCCATGAACTGGCAATCAGCCGGGATCGAGACGACTGAAGCAAATCTGCTCATTCTTATTTACCTCTTGAGTTTCTGTGTCGCCGTGCGGCTTTAAGATAGCTCATCTGGTAATTAGGCTCGTTTGTTCCCTGCAGGCTCCTCATCTTCGCACGTTCCCTGAGACAATTCGCAAAAGTTGTAATTCCGCTTAAGCGCGAGCAGCCAGGTGGCGTCTTTAACACCAAATTGAGGCTTATTAGCAAATTTGTCCTGATGTCCTTTTAAAACATGCTGATTTATCCTGGCTGATTTATCAGTTTTCTCAATTAATTCATAGGATGTTTTTTTTTTCTTTCATTTTGAATGCAATACAGTATAGCAAGAGTATGAGTATTACGTTTCACATTGAGCAATAAGAAAGCATTTATGTTTGCATTTTGCAACAGCGTTGCACTTAGGGTAAAGTGCTGGAGCACCCGTGGCCATTAACATTGTCTTCTAGCATCTCCGCATTCAAAACCTTGAGTTAATGGACGCCGTGCTGCTCCACAACTCCACGCATCTAATTGAACTCCACCGTGTATTGTTGCCGACATCATTCCAATGAAGCAGTCGGAAAGTTTTTGTGCTCACGGGCCACATTTGATTGGGCCAGCTTATTTGAAGATGAGTAAAAAGTTAAAAAAAAAAAAAAGTAAAAATCTGTATGTAAAATGTGGATTTTATTCATGTTTTTAGACATTTTATACACAATATTTGATTATTTTTTTGAACAATTGGGCCAGCTTATTTGAAGATGAGTAAAAAGTAAAAAAAAAAAAAGTAAAAATGTGTATGTGAAATGTGTATTATGTTTTTATACATGTATTGATGATAAATTAGTAAACGAATAATTTCACCAAATTAGTTCTACATATAAATAATATGTAATACATTTCTTCAATTATAAATAAAATTCATGGACCCTCATGTAAAATTATTTACTACTTCTTGCTTCTTTAATTATTTACAGCAAATTCCCCAATTATTGACGTGAATGAATACAAAATTAATTTGGTTGAATGCTTTTATTCCCCATGACGTATAAATACGTCAAAAAAAGCCACGATGACCACCTACCCATGACGTAAGCACCCCTGACTGACAATCAGGCATGTCTGCATTGTAAATCATTTCATATCTGTTCAGCAGGTGGCAGCGTTTTTTTTTTTTTTTTTTTTTTTTTTTTTTAGGGATCAGCCAGGATCATGCTGCACAACAAGTCAATTTTATATTTGTTAATAACTTCAAAATCCTTTATTATCATTTCAAACTCATAATACTGTGCTGCAATATTTTGTTGGCCCGGATTACATTTTCAAGACCCCTCTTCCAATGGTTGCCTCTTCTCCTTCTCTTGCAGATCTTTGAGTGGTGGTACTTCAGGAAGTACGGCACCTCCTTCATCGAGCAGGTGTCTGTGAGCCACCTGCGCCCCCTGCTGGGCGGCGTGGACAGCAGCTCCCCCAGCAGCTCCAGCACCAGCAATGGTGAAGCTGACTCAAGTCGGCAAAGTGTGTCGGGTGAGTAGCCTGGACGCTCACCGTCTACCGCCAGCTCCTTTTAGTGCTGGGTTAACTTCTTTTTAAACACGTATGACATGATGGAAAGTTCAAACTCAAAGTGAAGATGATGTCTCGGCACCTGTCTTGTTCCACCTCAGACTGACTGTTTCCCCGCTTAAAATGGAGCACGTTCTCCATTTTGGAGTGGGGCGGGGGGACAAGTAGGTCCCTTTTAATTCTTAGTTATCATGTCCGTTATGGCATCTCAGTACTTTGCTTCTGTTTACACGCCTGCTATTTCTAAGCTTGCCTTCTTTGACCGAAAAAATGAATTAATGTTCTCTCTCTCTCTCTCTCTCTCTCTCTCTCTCTCTCTCTCTCTCTCTCTCTCTCTCTCTCTCTCTCCTACAGAATGTAAAGTTTGGAGAAACCCGTTGAATTTATTTCGAGGGGCCGAGTACAATCGGTAAGTGACAGAAGTAAGACCCCTCACATATACTTCTTTCTGTCTGTCTGTCTGTCTTTCTTTTGGGTCTCTTTCATGTTGAGTCCCCTTCACGCTGGCATTCCTCCTCCTTGCCGCCTTTGAGACGTTCCCTCTAATAGCGCTCGCCCGTTTTTATTCTCGACTGGTTTCCCTCCCACTTCTTTTATCTTTCGAAGTCTTGATCTTCACTTTTTCATGATTCCCTCTCTGTTCTCTCTCCTCTCTGCTTCTTGCACACTCTTTGGACAAAAGTATTGGGACGCAACGATTACTCATTGTGAAGCATTTAGGGACGTTACTTTTCTCATAAAGTTGTGCTCGGATGAGTTTGATGTGGAACAATAACCACGAGCAATTGAGATATGGACAGAGATCTGACGTAATCTTGGAAAAACAAAAAATAATTGTCACCCCACTACCCCATCTCATAAACTGCAATTCCAAGACACCTTCATATTACTCCAAACAGCATTACCCTGTAGCTTACAGATGATTTGATTTTAAAAACAATGTACCCGAAGTGCAAGTACCTGTACACGTCGCCTTCGCAACCCAGAGCAATTGTTTAAGAATAACGAGACCTGCATCATTTGCCAGGTTGAGCTTTTTTTATACCCATTCAGCAGGACAAAGTTGTTGATTCTGAGCATGTCCCGGTGTTCCGCAGGTACACGTGGGTGACCGGCCGAGAGCCACTGACGTACTACGACATGAACTTGTCGGCCCAGGACCACCAAACCTTCTTCACCTGCGACTCTGACCACCTGCGGCCCGCCGACGCCAGTTAGTTTCACCTCTTTCGAGTGTGCCGTTCCATACCTTCCTGATGCTAAAACTCTTTATTTCTTTGTTTTCATCAGTCATGCAGAAGGCATGGAGGGAGAGAAACCCGCAAGCACGCATCTCGGCCGCACACGAAGCTCTGGAACTGGAAGAGTACATAACACTTTTCCTATTTCATCTTCAGGATGAAGGGATGGGTGAAAAGAAAAATGTACCAAACTAGGATGAGAAAGTGAAAGATGGGGTGGGAAGTGATGCGATGCATCGGAAAGATGAACAGAGTGAGGGAACAAGTGATACTCGTTCCAATGAATAATGATGATTTCAGGTACGAGTGAATTGAGATGCGAGTGTGGTTACAGAACAAAATAAACTTGTCGGCCAAGGTATCATTGGAATGAAAAATAACATTTAACACAGCCTTCAATTGCACCTTTTTTTAAGGGGTATATGTGGGCAGAGAGTGATGAGCATTTCTAGATATTAAATGACGCACACACAAAAAAACAAAATAAATAGTCACAAAATGTCTTCATAACGCCCCAGTTAATAAAGATAATTTAGTTTCAGATAGTAAATGATAGTTTCAATCATGAAAATGTAAGTGGGTGAAGTACGTTACCTTGTGGAGCCCCAGCGCTAACATTCAGCGGCCATTCCAAGCTAAACGCGTTGTCGTTACGACACAGCTGCGCGACGGCGTACATCCTCCTGGCAGAGGAGGAGGCCACCACCATCATGGAGGCTGAGCGCTTGTTCAAACAGGCGCTGAAAGCCGGTGAGGGATGCTACCGCCGCAGCCAGCAGCTACAGCACCACGGCACGCAGTACGAAGCCCAGCACAGTGAGTAGCCACACACATGAAAAAGAAACTTTACAATTTGATGTCCCCTGTATCATGGAAGTGTTTGACTTTGTTTCCTCAGGAAGAGACACCAACGTGTTAGTGTACATCAAGAGGAGACTGGCCATGTGCTCCAGAAAGCTTGGCCGGACGAGAGAGGCGGTGAAGATGATGAGAGATGTAAGTCAGAAAATGCAACCACGCCGATTCACGCCCACACACTGTGTGTCCGCTGACGTGTGCGTCGCCCCCTGTCTGCTATTACATGTAACAACAGTTGTGTGTTTTCCAGTTAATGAAGGAGTTCCCTCTCCTCAGTATGTTCAACATCCACGAAAACCTGCTGGAGTCACTGCTGGAGTTGCAAAATTACGCCGACGTGCAGGCCGTACTTGCCAAGTACGACGGTACGACCATACGCACGCACGCACGCACGCACACACGTCAGTATATGAGGTACACTAAGAAACAATAAGAAGCAGGCTATACAGGTCATGTATCAGAGTATGACACACGCATGTCAATATACAGGAAAAGCATTTAATGCCTCTGCCTGTCACTATACGTCACTGGCATAGATAGAAGAATGAACATAATTTTTGGGAGTAAATCAAATAATTTTCAGACCAATTAAGTGAAACTGGCCCACTTGATGATCTTGTCTGCACACTAACTAGTAATTGACTTGATGCCTCCCCTTCAATAAGTAGTAGTTGTGTGTGCGTGCGTGTGTGTATGTATGTGTTTGTGTTTGTGACAGATATCAGCTTACCCAAATCTGCAACAATATGCTACACAGCAGCTTTGCTCAAAGCCAGAGCCGTGTCAGACAAGTGAGTCGCGCTTCTCGACACTACTCACTGCGCACGACATGACTAACCACTACACCACACAAGCAATGCAGACACAACATTTAATGACACTCAGTGACGCTACATACTAACATACACTAATTAAATGTCACACTGCACTGAACAACACACTACCGCGACACATACACACATAAATGCTACACGTCAAGACGCTACATGACCCAGGTCACAACGTTACACTAACTAGTTAGCTCAAAAGGTTTGGGATCATTTCATACTTAATAAAAGAAGGCAAAGTGCATCGTGCCTATTGCAAAGTACAAGTGGCTTAAGTTACACAAACGGCACATCTCGTTAAAAGTGAAACGGTGAGCCAATTTAATCGAGCCTACCACCCCGAGTGATAACAAATTGAAATCTCTCCACAGATACTTAGCACGAAGGGAATGTAGACAATACAATCAGAAAATACAGTAAACGCAAGCGCATTCTTAGGCAACCTGCTGATGGCCTCAACTGACACTGTCGCCAAACACTTGGAGTGGCTAAACTTGAGCCAGTAAAGAGCCAGACAATTCGACATCAGGATTCGCTGACTGTCAGGTCGCTCGACAGATAACTCTGCAGTACTGTGAAACATCAGGCTGGCGACCTCAAATCGACAAAAAAAAAATAATAATACCTGCACCTCACAGGCATCTATTTTGGAACTCGGAAACTTTCTACACTGCTGCTATGTGCATGCGTGCATCCATTCAGGTTCTCTCCAGAAGCTGCGTCTAGACGAGGTTTGAGCACCGCAGAGATGAATGCAGTAGAAGCAATTCACAGAGCTGTGGAGTTCAACCCTCACGTTCCCAAAGTCAGTGTCTCACACACACACACACACACACACACAAAGGCGTGTTGGTGGTCCCGTGACTGACTGACTGTGTTCTTTCTCTGTGCCGTGACTCCTTCCTAGTACCTTCTGGAGATGAAGAGTCTGATCCTTCCTCCAGAGCACATCCTCAAGCGAGGAGACAGCGAGGCCATCGCGTACGCCTTCTTCCACCTGCAGCACTGGAAACGCATCGAGGGAGCGCTCAATCTGCTGCACTGCACCTGGGAGGGCAGTAAGTCGGGCAGCACTTCACTTTCCCCCCCCCACATCTTTATATGATACGTACTTATTCCGAAAATGTCCGAAAAGGGGAAGGCGAAAAAAAAGTGTGAATTCTTTCTTGATGCACTCTTTCAACATGTACTCATCAGATGTTTCCATGTGTGTAGCGTTCAGAATGATCCCGTATCCTTTGGAAAAAGGTCATCTCTTCTATCCTTATCCCATCTGCACAGAGACGGCAGACAGAGAGCTGCTACCCAGTAAGGCAGGCGCACACACACACACACACACACACACACACACACACACACACACACACACACACACACTGACGCCAAGCCGAAGTCCTGCGAGTTTTGCTGATGTCTCACACGCACATCAGTGACCTGTTTTTTTTATTGCTGGCATTACAGTGAGCCCTCCATATTTGTTAGCGACCAGGCCCTGATGCAAATCGCAATTAAAGTACAAAAACACGTTAAATTGACTACTTTCATGATTTAAACCTTAAATATACCTCAGACGATGCCGCCAAGCACAATTTGGTTACACATAATTGGATTTGCAAAAAAATGCGCTCGGAGTGAGAGGAGTCTGGGATGTCTGTCGCTGCTTGGCAACCCATAATACCAATTACTACTTTCCTATTTGCCATTTTATGATGTTTATTACTCGGACATAGGTGTTGTCATTTTTTTATACACAGTCTTACCTTGATTTATAATATTTGTGAAATGTTGACGTACATGACTGCCATTAGCAATCTGGACTTTTTTCTGCCATCACCTTGAGAAGTGTACCACCCTGCTCTCTTGGCCGTCAAATCCACGAAGAGACCGGCCTACCTGTCTGACCTCGACTGGAATATTCCGTCACGTTGCTATTTGCTCTCAAGCTGACTGACTAGCTGCTCCTCCCTGCAAGTGGTGCCTTCGAAAGGAATCTTTGCGCGTTGCAGAAAGACCCCGCAAATTTTCAAATTGTTAATTTCTAGAGAAAATGTACCAAGTCGTTGAGGTTTGACTGTAAACTCCTTTAACTCCGCCCACTTCCGGCCCCGTGACCACGTCGCTGACTTGCCGCTTTGTGTGCGTTTGTGTGCGTGTAAAGCAGTGTTCCACGAGGTGTCGGTGTACCCCAAGAAGGAGCTCCCCTTCTTCATCCTCTTCACGGCCGGCCTCTGCTCCTTCACCGCCATGCTGGCTTTGCTCACGCATCAGTTCCCGGAACTCATGGGCGTCTTTGCCAAAGCGGTTAGCACACACGCCCACGTGGAAATGATGTCAATACTGTCACAGAAATGGTCATCATTCAAATGTAGTTAATTTGTACAGGCAATTTTCGGTCCCATTTGAGCATCGTTTTCAGAGTATTAAAAGATGTTAACTTTTGTTGTCAGTTCCGAAAGGAAACGTTGTATATGAATAGATTTTTCTTTATTTGTTTCCCATCGACATATATATATTCGTCAAACATGATTTTCAACAGTCTCACCAGCGCTGTGAAATTTGGATTTGTAAGCCAATGTAAAGTGAAAACAAACTGCCGAGTCTGTGAGAAATCATGACACAGTTCATGGAGTAACAAAGTCAAATTTTAAAAGTCGCCGATGCAGTGAGTCAGCATCACTCACGTCGCACTTCTTAGTTTTATATCTGGAAAAAAAAAATTGCCATCCAAAGCCATTTCTCAGTCTTGCTTTTGTAGTTTTACAGTTTGTTGTGCCACAAATGCAAAAAAACATTACCGTCAGCCACTGTTCTGCTTGGCATGTTTTTCACAAAAAGCCCGTTTTCTCAATTTTTTGGGGGGGACGGGTGGGGGGGGGGGGGTTATAAATTGGTGTTTTTGGTGAAACCTTTGTTTAAAATATGTATATTTTCTTTTTAGTCGAATAGATGTATGCCTTCTTTCTTTCTTTCATGTTATCTATTTTTCTAGTAAAATCCCCACTTGTGTATTTCCAGTTCCTGAGCACGCTGTTTGCACCACTTAACTTCATCATGGAGAAGGTGGAGAGCATCCTGCCGTCCAGCCTCTGGCACCAGCTCACACGCATCTGACAAACTTGACTCTTTTTTTGGTTTTGTTTTGTTTTGTTTTGTTTTTTGGATTATTTAAAAAAAATCTTTGTTGTACAAAAACAAGTTGCCATCATTAAAAGAATGGGGGGAAAAAACACAACACAGTGTTCCCTCACTATATCGCGGTTCATCATTTGTGACCCCCCCGAACATTAAAACGCTGTGAGTACACTCATGCAGAATCGGTTGTCGCCCACTGCTCTCGCCCTGAGGCTCACTCACTACTACCAGACTCCACCTCTTTGAGCCACATACAAAGACTTAGTCCATATACTAGTAGGCTCAATTCAGTACTGTTGAAGAATGAATACGGCCCACTCATAGAACAAATGTCTCATGAGCAAACTTTTTTTTTCCCCCCCACGGCCAGTGCAACTTTTGGCCTACCAGTACACAATTAAATTTGACTAGTTAACTACTGGGCGGCCGGGTAGTCCAGTGATTAGCGCGTCGACCTCTCAGTGCAGAGGTACTGGGTTCAATTCCAGCTCCGGCCTCCCTGTGTGGAGTTTGCATATTCTCCCCGTGCTTGCGTGGGTTTTCTCCGGGTACTCCGGGTTCCTCCCACATTCCAAAAAACATGCATGGCAGGCTGATTGTACAATCAAAATTGTCCCGAGGTGTGATTGTGAGCGTGGATGGTTGTTTGTCTGTGTGTGTCCACTAGGGGGTGCCATTAGTCCAAATACTGTGGCTCCTGTGAAAGAGTGGTTTGAAATTCCAACTATCGAGAAATTAACATCAAGTTCATCAATTAAAAATGTAATAATTCCCTGATGACATGGCACTCTGTCTTACTTTGAGTTTAGCACTCACTTCCTCCCTCATAGGCAGCCTCTGTCTCAGGAACATCCTATGACTGTGGCACGAATTTATTTTGTTATCCTGTACTCCAGCTTCCTCTCATGTCTTACCCGCTAGGAATGCACTTAATCAAATCTGCGTCACGTTTCTGACTGCTTACATGAGTTGGCAAGCGCGAAACACGACAAGGTTACCTCAAGAACGAAAGCGAACAAAGCTTTGCCTTGTGCTGATAGAGGAGTATTGAGGCACCTGTCAATCAACCTGACAAATCTTAGGAATGTCGGCGAACAGGTTTTTGGACTTAAGGTGACATCATTGCAACCAGTGCTCGCCCAAGACATATATAACCTAGGCAATTACTATGATAGACATGCCAACAAAATGCCATCTTGGTAAGTGATACTGGCTTTGGGGGCGAAACTTTCAAAATAAATTCGAAACACCTGCTGCCTGCGTGCCACAGTCACAGGATGCTCCTAAGACAGAGGCTGCCTATGAGGGAGGAAGTGAGCGCTAAACTCAAAGTAAGACAGAGTGCCGTGTCATCAGCGGATGAACAGAGGACCGCTTCAGATCTTACAAGGACCATCAAGCTGTGAGATATGGCTCACTTACCAAGTCCCCCTTCCTCCCAGGATGCTCTCTTTCCTCCTCTTCTTGTCAATGGCCTCACTGTCTTCGGGTCCCCCC